TCAGTGATAGGGGGTCATATCTTCCGAGTCACGGGGGCTGGGAGTAGCGACGGGGGCTGGGAGTAGCGAGGGGCGCTGGGAGAAGCGAGGGGCGCTGGGAATTGCGACGGGGCGCTGGGAGTAGCGACGGGGGCTGGGAGTAGCGAGGGGCGCTGGGAGTAGCGACGGGCGTTGGGAGTAGCGACGGGGGCTGGGAGTAGCGACGGGGGCTGGGAGTAGCGACGGGGGCTGGGAGTAGCGACGGGGGCTGGGAGTAGCGAGGGGCGCTGGGAGTAGCGACGGGGGCTGGGAGTAGCGACGGGGGTTGGGAGTAGCGACGGGCGCTGGGAGTTGCGACGGGGCGCTGGGAGTAGCGACGGGGGCTGGGAGTAGCGATGGGGGTTGGGAGTAGCGACGGGGCGCTGGGAGTAGCGACGGGGGCTGGGAGTAGCGATGGGGGTTGGGAGTAGCGACGGGGGCTGGGAGTAGCGACGGGGGCTGGGAGTAGCGAGGGGCGCTGGGAGTAGCGACGGGGGCTGGGAGTACCGATGGGGGCTGGGAGTAGCGACGGGGGCTGGGAGTAGCGACGGGGGCTGGGAGTAGCGATGGGCGCTGGGAGTAGCGATGGGGGTTGGGAGTAGCGACGGGGGCTGGGAGTAGCGACGGGGGCTGGGAGTAGCGACGGGGGCTGGGAGTAGCGATGGGGGCTGGGAGTAGCGACGGGGGCTGGGAGTAGCGAGGGGCGCTGGGAGTAGCGACGGGGGCTGGGAGTAGCGACGGGGCGCCCTGAAAACCGTCACGGAAGCTCGGAGCAACAACATTACGCTTGAAATAACTACCCTGATGTCCAAAGCAACAGGGCATGTTTAAATATCGTCATGGGTACTGTAGAAGGCTACTGAAAAAATGAGATCACAAGCGATGACATACAACACTTGTAAATGGGGAACTGCCAGATAAATGGGAAACACCCAACGTGGTGCATATATTTAAGAAAGAAGACGGATAGAAGCCCTTCACACTACAGACCAGTATCACTTCCATGCATTCCTTCAAAGTGCTATAGACTATAAAAATATAAGACCTCCCAGAACACTATCCAGCAGGTGTCCAGCATCCAGCAGGAGAGTACTGAACATCCTGTAGTAGAATGAGTAAAGGGCATAATACTGTTTTTATTAAACATAATATGGACGGAAAATGACGAAAAGGCCGCCACAACACTACAACTACTGTATTTCATACATCGACATTCTAACATAATTTCAGAACATTCATTTTCCCATCAGGGCAAATGGGAGGACCTTTGACAAGCCGCCGGCTTTTTGTCCTCGTCGAGGCCACTAGTGTTAGTGGCCCTCAGGTAAATTCAGTTAAATAGTAGAAAAAAATAAAATATAGTTGCTCCCCTATCTCTTACAACCGTTTTCTGTTACGTTGGTTTATACCACTTTCTATGTTTCTGAAAAATTTAACGACTGACTCTACTAAACGTTAGAACACTCGTTATAGACGCGAAACCGCGTTAACAGAAATGCCACTTTTAATTTGATTCAAAAGCGCAGGGAAGACCATTTTCAATGAATCATTAACCTAAACCCAAATAACGAGGAAACATTACTCACCAAAGAGTTGTCTTTTTAGCTGAGCTTCTGTGCTTACCTGCAAAAATAAATGCATATTAATACACACACACATAGGCACTGTTTATATAATATATATATATATATATATTATATATATATATATATATATATATATATATATATATATATATATATATATATATATATATATATATATATATATATATATATATATATATATATATATATATATATATATATATCAGACTTAAGTTTAACACTATAGAAACGTACATTTGGGACATAATAAACGGCTATCAGAGGATCAGTCATCACACTCGCCACCTCAAAATTGGAAAGTCAACCACATTTCGAATGTGGAAATTCAACAAACTTCGTTAAAGGTAAGAACTATTTTTGTCAGAATATAACTGTGCTATCAATATTCGAGTCAACTTTCTAAAAGTATTTTATATATATATATATATATATATATATATATATATATATATATATATATATATATATATATATATATATATATATATATATATATACAAATATAACGAGCCGATCTTTAGGCTACCCAATATATCGATCCTTGCTAGATAAATCGATCGTTAATTATCCATTTTCGAAAGAAAAAAAAAAAGAGATCCTTTCTTTAGGCTACACAATATAACGAACCCATCTTTAGGCTACCCAATATAACGAACCCAACATTAGGCTACAAAATATATCGAGCCCATCTTAAAGCTACACAATACACACAGTGAACTGTATATAAAACCCACGTTGGGCCACTTACATTGACAGAAATACCTGGCGGAAACCTTGAAAACTCGCTACCTTCCCTTCCATATACTAACTATTGTAAACCTATTGCAAAAAAATGGAATTTAATACCCGTTAACGGATCGATTGCAATCTGATTATCGATTGACTGATGTATCGAATCTTAATGTATGTTGAAAAATGTGAAACCTAAATAATTTCTTTCGATAATTTGTGAAATTCCAGTTAATTTATAAATTTTGAAATTTAATTATATAAATAATCAGTTTACCCTCTTCCCCAATCTATAATATTTGAACAGTATATTATATTGAAAACATAACTATCGCCTGACAGCAAGACAATCTGGTTGCCCCTTTAGCATATAAAGTAATACTTTAACAATATTTTTGGTTAAGTTCATTTAAGTTAGAGATTCCGACTTGAATTTAGTTCTATAGGAATTATCAAGAAGCCGGAGCTCTGCACCCCGCGGTGTCACGGGTCTTACTGTCCTACTCTCAAATTCCAAATCAAAACTTTAATCATAAATGTCTGTACAATTATAATTAAAGTTAAACAAAATTAGTCATTATTTACCTAAGTGAAAGCGATAGTAACAGCTTAATACGTAATATTATAATTATATAGCGTATAGTCTATATAATTATATAAATATTATTATATACTATTATATAAATATAATATTATATAAATATAAATATATACTACTATTATAGTATATACTATATATAGTATAGTATATATAGTATATACTACTATATAATATATACTACTATTATACAAATATAAAGTCTTGCTGTCCTACTCTCAAATTCCAAATCAAAACTTTATTCATAAATGTTTGTAAAATTATAATTAAAATTAAACAAAATTAGTCAGAAAGTGATAATAACAGCTTAACATGTAATAATATAATTGTTTAGCGTACAATTTGGTGTTATCCTCGCCACGTGAGCGTTGGTCATCTTGAAGCATGAAGCGTCGCCCACTTCCTCGTTCCACCACTTCCTGGCTGGTGTCAGGAAGCCTCAGCCTCTTCCTGCCTGGTGTCAGGAAGCCTCAGCTTCTTCCTGGCTGGTGTCAGGAAGCCTCAGCCTCTTCCTGGCTGGTGTCAGGAAGCCTCAGCCTCTTCCTGGCTGGTGTCAGGAAGCCTCAGCCTCTTCCTGCCTGGTGTCAGGAAGCCTCAGCCTCTTCCTGGCTGGTGTCAGGAAGCCTCAGCCTCTTCCTGCCTGGTGTCAGGAAGCCTCAGCCTCTTCCTGGCTGGTGTCAGGAAGCCTCAGCCTCTTCCTGCCTGGTGTCAGGAAGCCTCAGCCTCTTCCTGGCTGGTGTCAGGAAGCCTCAGCCTCTTCCTGCCTGGTGTCAGGAAGCCTCAGCCTCTTCCTGGCTGGTGTCAGGAAGCCTCAGCCTCTTCCTGGCTGGTGTCAGGAAGCCTCAGCCTCTTCCTGCCTGGTGTCAGGAAGCCTCAGCCTCTTCCTGGCTGGTGTCAGGAAGCCTCAGCCTCTTCCTGCCTGGTGTCAGGAAGCCTCAGCCTCTTCCTGCCTGGTGTCAGGAAGCCTCAGCCTCTTCCTGGCTGGTGTCAGGAAGCCTCAGCCTCTTCCTGGCTGGTGTCAGGAAGCCTCAGCCTCTTCCTGGCTGGTGTCAGGAAGCCTCAGCCTCTTCCTGGCTGGTGTCAGGAAGACTCAGCCTCTTCCTGGCTGGTGTCAGGAAGCCTCAGCCACTTCCTGGCTGGTGTCAGGAAGCCTCAGCCTCTTCCTGTCTGGTGTCAGGAAGCCTCAGCCTCTTCCTGGCTGGTGTCAGGAAGCCTCAGCCTCTTCCTGGCTGGTGTCAGGAAGCCTCAGCCTCTTCCTGCCTGAGTGGCTGCCATCCACCTGGGTACACCTCTGGTGCAGAGTCCAACAACAATTATCCTGCCGATGGCGTTTCGTAATTTTAATTTACTTCTGCGATTTTGGAATTCTCCAGCAATCTTACTTCTTACCTCCTGTTAAGGTTCTAGTTCTTCCGTTCCTGATCATAGAAACAGCCATGTACATCATCTTAATATTAATATTCCGTTGTTAATATAATCGTTGTGACCGGTTCATGCTTACCAAGTAAAGTTTTCAAATCATCGGAGTTAGTATAACCGTATATCAACTCTCGTCTAGTTTCTGAAGGTTAATGTGCGTACTTTGTAAGGGTCTCTCTCCCAACAATGTTGGTCGCCACCTTCTGCCGCCAGAATGTCGTCCCGTATTCCCCAGCACTGCTCGTCCTCTCTAACATTCCGGAGCCGGAGCCACTTTCCTAGAACAGGGTTGCTCGAGACTAGGTACGTTTTCTTTGGTACCTGACCACCACAGAAAATGTATTCTCGAAAGTCGAAAGCAATACGAAGACCAACTAAAGTATACCTGGTATATTCATACTAAATAAGCAAATGCTACTGCAGTACTCCAGGTAAATATTCTATTGAAATAATATTATTCTAAGAAAAAAAATATATTATAATTTCAAACAGTAACACGAAATAATGTTCAATACTTTATAGTTTTATAAATTTCGAAAAGGTTTTAGGGTTGCAAATAGAAGCGATCTGGTATATATATATACAGAATATGAGTGGGTCTTTTGTGCACATTCCCGTATGAATACAACAAATACATTAATGTTGTCCTGTCTTTGGTTTAGGGGGACTCTTAGAGTCCTCACCCTTATGTCCCTGAGCTATTTCCCCGCATTCCCCTCTGAGCGAGGCCCTTCTGAACTTTTATCTGTAACGCCGCCTGTAACCATAAACAAATTATTTGTTAATTGGTTTTGTGTTTATGATCAAATCTCACAATCATCTCGCTACCTGATAATTACCTCTTAATGTGACGGTCCACATCACTAATGATTACCATTCTCTGACGACTGTTTGAAGCTACCACGTCAACTGCTGAGTGATTAACAGAGACAAACTAAGCATTCCCCAACCGACGTCCGTAAATTGTTAATACGTTAAATACGGTATGTCTATGCTAGGTTAAATTCAGGTTTATTTGATACACTTAACCTATGTTATTATAGTGCGTTTTCGTCCATAATATAATTTGTACGTCACAAAAACTAAATTAAATTTTCTCGACAGGCTGACAATTAGTCAGCGGACCTTAATCAGCAGGACAAACACACACAAACAACACTCCAACATCGTCACATATAGAGTAGACTAGAGGATGCGATAGAGGGCAGACTTGCGAAAAATAGAATGGGTAGCAGAGCACTCTTTCCATCATCTACCCACTATTGCCCACACTCAAAATTAAGGGATTAGCGCTTCTTCTAGGCTCCAGTAAATAAGCACAGATATTCAACAAACATTGTGAAGACTGCAGCAGGAACATGCGAGGAATGGAAGCAGCTGGAGGTGGTGTAGGTGTCTACTGACATGCAGAAAAAACCTCATGAGAAGCTGGAGTGCCATGAAACTAGTTATTGTTGTCTACAACGCAGTGT